AGACAGACAGACACACACACACACATCACCACGCACACACACATACACACATGATGTGAGGCAGCGTGGTGAAATCAGGCACTCATCAAAATAATCAAAGAGAAGAAACTGGCATTTGCCCGCAGGCTTGTGATTTTTTATCGAATATTTGTCTTTTTGGCTCAACACCTTCCTTACATTTCTGTGTGGATTTTACTGAAAAACGTTGATTAAAGGCAACAAAAAAAGTAAACTTTCCGTTTCAGGGACTCTCAAGCTAAGGAAATAACTAATCCTTAACGGCCATTTCCTCACCAATTTTACCTCTGAAATCAGGTGACCCCACCTCCTTCATTTGCAAATACCTTGACTAGTATTCAAGATAAATAAATTTTTTTTCATCCAAACCAAGAAAAATGAATGAGCTTTAAGATGATACCAATAATTCCACATGTAAAAAAATTGACAAGCGTCTGATTCCACCACGTCATGACACATAATAATATGAACACACACTCACACACACACACACACACACACACACACATACACACACAAACACACACACAAACACACACACACAATGTACTCACAGTACACTGGGTAGGGGTGAGGTGTAGGCAGTAGATGCAGCTGTGGTAATACTTCTTTCCACCGGGGCTGGTGCGTGAGCTCTCTTATACTCTTCTTGCTCAAACTTCTTAAAGCACAGCGGGCAAGTCACTTCATTGTTCACTGACAAAGATCACAGAAACAATTCTACCTACATCAGTTGCCTTAAAAACACTCTCCAAGTTATGAGTAAAGTGAAACACAGCAAAGCAATGACTGTCATTAAGTGCTGGGAAAACCAAAATAAACAGATAAACAACAAAGGGAAAAGAGAGGTCAACAAATGGAAAAGCAAAGAAGTTGGACCTGCCAGTGGCACCCTCTTATCACCCGCAAAAACACTGTCCAGATGTATGTAAACAAAATACAGAAATAAGTAGACTACAGTAGAACCAACTCTAATTGTCCAGGAGTACAACCATCTCTCATTTCCTCCAGCGTTTTATTCTCTATTGTTGTAATGGTGCTGCCCAAGACATTCATCCATCTAAAAAAAACAATTTTTCTCCTCAATAGGCTGTCTTAGACAATTTCAACTGTAAATTTGGAACACAGTGATTTACTCCTCCTGTTTACATAAAATGTGCATATCTTCAGAGAGTGATTAGTGAGAAGCATATATTTTAGAGTAGAGTATCCAAAGTATACATTATTTTGCAATACAAAGAAAGACAATATTTTTTAGAACAACTCCACTGATTTTTACTCACTTTGTAAAGCAAGGTAATTTAGAGTTACCAATTTTCTTAATGATAGTGGCGATATATTTCATAGACCAGTCATAAAGTGGTAGCTTATGGTCTCAAACTTTTTGGACAGAAAGTTCACAACACTTCACAAATATCCATTTGCCTACTTATTCATTCCAGTACAAAATTTCTGTCCCTAAGGAGCCATATCAAAGGTGCTAAGCACAAATGGACCAACTCCAAATTAGTCTAGGACCAGACTACAGTAGGTCTAATGCAAGGTCATATCAAGTGCTCATTTTTAGATGCCTTCATTCGTCATTTTTTCAAAATAGCTTATGGCGAAGTCTTACTCTAAGCTGTCGATATACGCCGTTTATATAAAGTCACACATTCAGTTTTTTAAAGTGTTTTTTTTTAAATTCATTTATTCCAACTTTGAGTTGATCGGTCTCTGATAACAGTTTTTAGGCTCTCCTGTAGAATATGCTTTCTGGCAGATGGCCCACCTGAGCCTGACAACATCGAAATAGTATGGTGACCTGTTAGATCCTGAAACACTTATATCAGCTTTCATCAGTCAACAAGAGCTATATCACTAGCATCTGATAGCAGTTAGGCACTTTGAGGTCACATATAGGACACCCGAGTTTGATTCCCAAGAGGGAAGAATTTTCATCGTTGTCTTTCTGCTGGAATGTTGTATCCCTCTCATCCCAGATTAACCCCGATAGCCAGGGTCAGAGGCCTGCATCCTAATGATCTTAACTGTGTCGATGGGGGAGAAAAAACACTAACATTAAAGAGCTATATCAGATCATGTCCACTCACCAGCCCTTTCCATCAGCAATGGATGTCCATTCTTTTTTGCTGTATCGAGAGGAGCGTCCCCTCTGATGTTGATTGCAGTCAGATCCGCGTCATGTTGTAGGCAACAGTTGAAGCAGTCAGCTTTACCACCCTCCGCAGCATAATGCGCTGGTGTGTTGCCGAAGTCTACAAGAAGAGAACCAATGCTTCATTTCTATGCCAAAACAGGACCATCCTGAAAACATATTCAATTTTCTACGAAAGTTTTGAAATTTTCGGCAGAGAATAAGTTATTGAACAACCTTGTCAAACACACAGCGCTACCATTGAGGAGAAAAGTTGGTTCTGCTGTGAGCAACAATTAATGTCTACAAGTGGGCAATAAAAATCAGGAATAGTGAATTTGTGAATGGTGGTAACAGAAGTATATTATGTCAAACAGATCATGGGTTTAATTGACATCTTCAGTATTGTGCAAGTGGTTTCCAGTTCAAGCTTCATACTCTCAAGTTTTCAAACATTGACCAAACTTTACTAAAAAATAAAATAACCCACTGAATTAAATTAAATTTAACTGCTTCTGTCCATAGCTCCCTCCACTTCCACATGCACACCCAGTTTTCACTCCTTCTCCATATTATGTCCCCTAAAAATGCACCAACAGCCATGAAGGCACTGATAACTTCCCTGTTTTCACTTACGATCAGCGAGGTTGATGTCCGCCCCTTCTTCAAGGATCCAGTGTAAAGCATTCACTGCACCAAACAAAGAAGCCTATGTATGGAAAAATCAAAACCAAAAATGTAAGCAACTATCAGAACATGAAGCACCTAGCATAATACACTGCTAATTCATGGCTAACCCTTCGTGACAGCTCCTGTACAACGTATGTCAAACATTAAGAGCCATGATACGATCCTCCCGTACAATGTACGTCCTAGAATGAAAGCCAATTTAGGAAGTCGTGTGGACCATAAGACATGCACTATGGATTTCATAGCATGGCAGCATTACAAAAGCTTTGAACTGAATTTAACTGGAGAATTGAAGAAAGATTCAAACTCTGTGTTAACGAAAATAGTATGGATCACATACATAAATCTTTCATTTTGAGAGGGACTGCTAAATGACTGAAACTACTCCTTCCTGGCTAGCAAAGAAGTGGGCGCCGCAAAAGTTGGAAAAAACTTATATCACGAAGGGGTTAAAATACATTAAATAAAACATATAAAGCACTCCATGCTCATATAAAGGTATAGAAAAAGCAAAGTATAAGCATACAAAGACATTCAAGGAACAACATAGTTTCTAACTGTGTATGTCAAAAGTAAAATCAGAAAGATATTTAAAGTTATACTTTCCAGTAAAAATTCAATGTTTGTAAACTAAGGACAAAGGAAAATTCATAATGTATGAGACACATTGACTTTTACAACACAGACTTTAAAGTAAATAAGTGCGCATAAACAGGATTATGCAAAAGAAAACCTCTCTAACATATACTATTATTGATACTACCAGGGTGAGTCAAAAAGTAATGCAAGTTCGTTTATAACTTAAAGAAAAAAGAACACACTTGCAACTATGATCCATCAAATTGAAGGGGAGCATCTGAGGATCAGATTTTTATTTTTCAACATAGTCTCCATTTCGTAAAATAGCCACTGTCCACCTTTAACAAAGTCCAACTATGTCAGCTTCGTAAAACTGAGCAGGTTGGTGGTAGATGTACAGCAGTCTTGATTTCTCCATCGTTTCAATAGTGTTGACCTGTCAATGGTTCTTTTCTAAGACCGAAAAGGTGGAAGTCTAAAGGAGCTAAATCAGGAGAATAAGTTGGGTGGGGTAGTGTTTTCCACATAAACGGGGTGATTATCTCCCTTGTTCTGGTACTCGAATGCTGGCGGGCATTGTCATGGTGAAAAAACACTCTTTCCATGATCAAATTTGGTCGGACTCATCGAATTCTCATTTTCCGTAGTTTAAATGTTTCAATGTAGGGTTCATAATTGACAGTTGCTCCTCGTGGTAAAAAGAAATCTGTAAGAAGCACGCTATGAACGTCCCAAAACACAATTGCCATGATTTTTCTGGCTGACTCCTCGGGATGATGCTTGTCTGATAAGCCTATGGACACGTTTTTCTCTTCTTCCGGTTCATTGCACATGGTATACGTCCTGACCCACCTATATACAGAGCCAAAACCTAGAGATTGGTCCTTGTAAACATTTTGAATTCAGTTTTGGATGTTTTCAGTAGATTCTCTTTCTAAAACAAGGAATTCAATCACTGCTCTCTACCTCTGACAGACCTCCAAGAGGGTAGCCATTTTGCTCTGACGTCATTTCGGCCGTAATTAAAGAAACTTAAATTTTAACAATTTGAGTTCAAAAGTATATAAGCAAGTAGCCTACTTGTGAGCTGAATTTCATTAAATTCTAGGCAAAATTGTGCAAAATAATGAATAACTTGCATTACTTTTTGACCCCCCTCGTATATGTTGCTCTGACAAATTATAAATGCTGTAATTTAAGAGCAGACACTGAAATATTAGAAGACAACTACAGACTTTATCAACACTGAGGAGACAAGTTTTGACTGCGAATTGAGTTGAAACAGAGCCAACATATCGATGGCTGGATGCATTATTCCAACAAACATCATAGTGCTATTTGGCATAAGTCAGATTCTTGCAACCAGCCAGTAGTATCATATAATGCATTTGAGGCAGTATGGTGAAATCAGGCACTCGCCAAAATAATGAAATTGAAGAAAACAGCTTTTTCCCGCAAGTTTGGCAAATTTTTATTGAATACCGTATCTTCGTGGATTTTACTGAGAAATGTTGATTAAAGACACAAAAAATGTAAATTTTCAGTTCCCAAGGACTCTCAAGCCATGGAATACATTAAATGTTGGTAGCCATTTCCTTGTTAATTTTACCTCTGAAACCGGGCGACCTCACATCCTTCAATCCAGAATATCTCGACTTCTATTCAAGATAAACGGGTATTTAAAAAAATTAAAAGCAAGAAAAATGATCAAGACTAAAGATATTGTCAATAACTCCACATGTCCAAAAACTGACAAGCGCCTGATTCCACTGTGTCCTGACACATATAGTAAAACAGTTAAAGTGTGTGTGTTTAAAGCCCTTATCAACACTATTGGGTTATTCAATAGGCAGAACTTCTGAATTCAACGTCTGTCTCCAATAGGTCCAAGCTTAATGGGTTGAGAGCCTTGAAATCTCCACAAAATGACCAGAGTTGAAGAGCTCGCAGTCTGGGATTCAAACCAAAGCCATTCATTCTGTAGTTCAGTTAATGAAGCACCCTATATAATATATATATGTAAGAGGACCAGACAAACAACTAATTCACCTGAAAGATATCTCAAACATGCACACCTTATGTTAAACATCTTACAATATGAGAGCAGGCCTTTCCTTCTCCTTGTGGAGCATCGAGAGCTGTGCCCTGTTTGACCAAGAACTTGAGGCAGTCCACCTTGTTGTACCTGGCAGCTAAGTGTGCTGCCAGATAGGTATTGGTATCTCCTACCGTTGTGTCGCAGTCCCGCTCCACAAGACATACCACAGACTCCAGACCTGGAAAAGTTCAGCTGCTTTTTGAGTTTGAGTTTTGGATGATTCAGTAAGACACTGCTGACATTGCTATATAAAAATAATGTAAGTCAATCACCGAAAGAAACTGAACAGTATGTAACATATTTCCCGCAGGAGATGACAATGTGCTGCGGAAGGCATAAAATCTTTCATATAACTTGCACATGAACGTAAAAGTAGGGAAAATTTCAAGAATATTGGCTCTGGCTGAAGGTTTGAGAGAATTGGAAATTCATATCTTTCTCTAGTTTAATCTTCACTAATAAAATAAAATCAATTCTTTAAACTGCACCACTTCATACTGCAGGGAGCTGTCACTGTGCAGACAAGTAAAGGTAGAGTAAGAAAAGGCATGTGCTCAGGTCGATAAGGTAAACTGTTTGTTTTTCATTCTACAAGTTCTGTTATCATACAACCAACATCTGCATAGCTTTGGAAATAAGGTCTAATGTATATCTAAGCTGTTGCAAGGAAAATGAACAGCTCCATTTGACTTTTTCTTCCAAGGTGAGTACAATTTATCGGAGTTACTAATTTTTTTTGCAGAAGTGGTATTGTCATGGTTCTGCAATAATGAAATATAATCATTTTGTAATTCCCCTCTTCATGGTACATCATTTAATATCAAAATTTTTCAAAAGTGTCTGGGGTATCCTAAATTACACATTGATTTTTTATGGAAATAATGTCTTATAAAACAACAAACCATGATTTCTCCATTATCTCGAATGGGCAAAAAATGAGTTAGACCATATTGGCAGCACCATGAAGATATGAACTTGAAGCAAATGAGTGTTTCCCAGACCTCCATACTGAGCAGCGTAGTGTAGAGGTGTCCGTCCCAGCTCACACTGACAGTCCAGATCCACGCTGTGGTCAAACAAGAGCTGTAAGATCTGAACATGGTTCCTTGTGGCTGCCAGATGGGCAGGTTGTCTTCCTTTATGATCTTCGGCAATCAGATTCGCACCTGAAGGAGGAATGTGTGCACAAGTATAAAATTTGTTTAAAGAAGTCCTAAAACATGATAAAACTATATTAAATTTTTTAAAGAAAGTCTCGGAATTCCAATTTATATCATTGTCTTAGATGCTATAAATCATCACACAATAAGGCTTATCAGTATCAGTGATATAGTGACTTATTTACAAAGACAGAAAATTATATAAAAAGCAGAAGCAAGACTGAAATCTGGACAAAACAGCTTGTGTCCTCTAACCTGACAAGATTATCTACATATTCGTAAGAAAGTCAATCATTGGGGGAGGAGTTTCATGAAAAAATTGTATATCTTTCATCTCCAAATTTGTCTTTGAGCATGTTGAAGTCCCCCCTATGTCTCATATAATTTACAGCAGCTTGAACAATCTTGTACTTTGAGCAATTAATACTTGGACGGAAAGCAAATGTTAATTTGAATCTGCTTGATCTCAGGCTACAGATTGGCTGTAAGAATTATTTCCATACATTTAAAGCAATATTCATCAAGCAACATGAGAGTGTCACCGCTCCACTGACTTGAACAAATGCACAAAATCATCTTTTCAAAGATTTGAACAGAAAGCCTGAAATAAGGTTTCTGCTTCATATTCGAGCCTTTTATGTCTATCCTCTCTAAGCTTGCAGGAACCAAGAATTGACATGTTGTCAATATTTTGACTTAGCTTTTCAATAATTTTAGATTTTCATGTGAAAAATATTTTTATAAAGGCAAGTTTATAATACAGACAACAAAAAGCGGACTATACATTTTTTTTCAGACTAGCAGTGCAATGCCAAGAAGATAACAAATTGAAAAGTGCATAAATCCTTATTTTGAGCAGAGATATGCACTATAGCAATGCAAGCTATAATCGATATTATCATAATTATTAGTTGAAGATCAATTCACCATTTTCTATCAAGACTTTCAGACTCTCCTCTTCTCCGTTAAATGCAGCCAGGTGAGCAGCCGTCTGTCCATCTTTATCAGAGACATTGATGTCTGACATGACGTCCACCAAAAGCTCAACACAATCCAAGTGGCCTCCGATACAAGCCTCATGTAGAGGGACACGCTGACTGCTACTCTTCAACATTGGATCTGCTCCTCCCTGAAATATAGACATTTAAGGGAACATACAAGTCAAATGTTAATACATTCAAAACACATGGTAGCAAGCTTAAAAATAATTCGCTTTTTGATAGGGAGCCAAATAAACTCTCTCAAAATGGGTGTTATCTTTTTCCTCATTACTAATCAGGCACTTGATGATGATGTTATTATTTTTTTTCACCACTATTAATTATAGAAAGAAAACTTTATCATTTCTCTAGTAAACATTTAAACATCAACAACATTTCGCTTGATCAAAAGGGTACTGCAGCTGATAAACACAATAATATGCACTACAATTTTTCAAGGAAAGCTCTGAAAGCCAACTTTCTCTGTCCAGATGCTTAACATGTCAGCTTAGCACACAAAAAAGACTGAGCAGCAGCAGGAATGCAGTGCCATATATGGCATACTTTATGACACAGTCAAAATTGTTATATTAATCCCAAAACTGTTAATAGAGATTTGGTCATCAACTGATTGACCGTATAAAAAACTTGAAAGCTCTGGCACTTAGTTAATTTTCTTAGATATAAAATATATGGCTTAATTATTGTGTCTTTTGTGTGATGGTGGGAATATCGGCAGAAACACCTGTAAGGCATAAAGACAAGTGCTTACCGTAGCTGTATGGTAAAGGAACAAAAATAAAATCAATAATCGTCATTTGACAAATTTCCCCCTTCTTCATAATACAGCAATGATAGGCAGCTATCGTCTTTGGTTGTGTAGGAGTTGTCCCTCATCTCTCACACAACAAACAAATCAAAGCAAGTCTGGACTATTACAACAGTCACTTTTTTTCTGTAATTAATTAAGCTATGAAACTAAAAATGATTTTACCTTCAAGAGCTCAGCAAGAACGTATGTCTGTCCATATGTTGCAGCAAGAGATAAGGCACTCCTTCCGAAACCTTCCCTTGTTGCTGTGAGATTTGGGGCAATGTGCTGGTCTTCCAACAGCTCACGAACTTTGAGGGCATCACCCTGCTCCGTGGCTGTCATGAAAATATCTTTCACCTCTGAAAATTAACAGAATAATAATAATCCGGTTGCATGTAAGTTAAGATACCAAAATAATATAATGGTTGATATAGTGAAACTGAGAGGGAAAAATGCATATGTGAGGCAGCATGGTGAAATCAGGCACTCGTTAAAATACAGAACTTGGAGAAACAGGCTATTTTCAACCAGTTTGGAAATTTTTATCGAATTTTTATTTTTAGGCTCAACCTCTTTTAAGTCCAAATTAAAACCACATTTCCGTGTGAATTATACTAAATAAAACATTGATTAAAGGCACAAAAATGTCATTTTTCTGTTTTCAAGGACTCTTTAGCTATTGGAGTTAATTTCGCCACTGAAACCAGGTGACCGCACGTCCTTCAATTGCAAATATCTTGAGTTCTATTTAAGACAGATAGATATTTATTTCATCTGAAGCAAGGCAAATAAATCAGCTTTCAGATGCTACCAATAACTCCACATGTCCAAAAATTGACGAGCACCTAATTCCACTGCGTCCTGACACATAATAATATGTGTAAATGTAAATATGTTAGCAAGATAACAGACAGCAAAGCCAGAAGTGCTAATATTTTATTGACACATGTGATCGGGGAGCTCAGAGAAAATCCACCAGAAAGTGCAGAGTTATAAGTGAGGTATTAACAAAATAGTTCGAAAAAACTTTTCTTCTTCCATGATACCAAGTACGAGGGCTGTCCCAGGAAAACTGGAATTTGGCTGTAATTTGAAAAGTATTCAATATTTTCACATTCTGTAAACGCACATTTGTAAAACAATCATTTGGGAATTTCCAGATTGAGCACCATGAGCATCGCAAAAACCAAACGAACACAGCAGTTCTCCAAAGATGGCTACCCCCTTGAAAAATTGGTCAAGGTTAGAAGTGAGGTCTGTCATTCGGTTTCAGACCACAAAAGGTCTCAAACCTACAGAAATACACACTGAAATAAAGTCAGTTTACGGGGAAAAAGTAATGGCAAAGTCACAGGTATATGAGTGGTGTAGTAAGTTCAAAGCTGGGCATACGGATGTCAATGCCAAAGTTCACCCAGGACCTTGTTTTTCTGCCAAGACTGAGGAAAACAAGAGTCACGTTAACGAACTCATTCAAACAGACAACCGCCTTAAAATTCGCGAAATTTCTGAGTTGCTAAACATTTCAAAGTCGACTGTCCATAGGATAGTGAGCTGCACTATCGAAAGGTCTCTGCTCGATGGGTCCCAAAAGAGCTGACAGCTGACCACAAGACGCAACGTGTTGAAGTGTCTCAGGCTTTGTTGAATCGTTGTCGCCAAGCTGTCACGGGAGTCATGAACACATCTGGAGACCTCCAACAATACGATGAAGCATTCTTGAGAAGTATTATTACAGGTGATGAGACTTGTATACACCACATGACCCCTGAGACAAAGAGGGATTCCTAGGTTTGGAAGCACACATCTTCACTGCCCCCGAAAAAGCTTAAAGTTCAGCCATCGGTGAAGAAACTCATGGCCACAGTTTTCCGGGATGCTAAGGGTGTTCTGCTTCTTGACATTCTGGAACCAGCATAAAATGTTAATGCTTACAGATACAGCCAGACTCTTGATAAGTTGAGAGTGAGAGAGGTTGTGCGCCGAAAAAGACCAGGCCGGTTGTCCAGAGGGGTCATTTTGCAGCATGAAACCGCAAACGCTACTAAAGACTGGATCCAAAGGTCCGGCTGGGAAGTTCCGCCATATCCCCCTCACAGTCCTGACTTGGCCCCGTCAGATTATAATCTTTTTGGACCAACGAAACACCATATTTCTGGATAGCGATTCACCGACGATGAAGACCTCGAGGAAGTAGTGAAAGATTGGTTGAAATCCCTTGATGAAAAATTCTTCAGGGAGGGTATCTTCTCCCTGATCCAGCGATGGGACGGTAATTACATTGAGAAATAAAGCACATGTTGAGGTATGATGTTTAACACTTTTATTATAATAGGACAAACATTGTTGCTTTTATGGACCTTTTCGGGTTTTCCGTGGGACAGCCCTCGTATAATGAAACATGGAGGGATATTTTTTAGAAGTTAAAAAAGTATTTCAAAAACTTTATTCAAAAGAATTTTCGCTAAAAAACCCATTCTAATTCTAAATTTCACAATTGGCAGAAACATTTGATCTAGTTTAAACTCCTCGACATCTATATTTAAGCAAATCTACTGTAACATACCAAACAAACAAAAAGAAATAAATCTCTGACTTTCAAAGAAAATCCAAAGTAAGACTTTACAAAGAGTAACAAGAGAACAATTTTCTAAATGGATTAGGAATACTTGTCCTACCTATCTCCAGGCGTATTTACGGCAATTTTAGCTCGCTTTATTGTCTTTGCGTTTACTTACCGTGTTTCAATTTCAAGCATCAGCGTTCTTACTGTTCTGAGCATCAACAATCTGCGATCTTCTATCACCAGAGCATGGCTGATGCGCTGCAGTTAGTCGCAAGTGTGAAATTTTATCATGCGAAACACATCGATGCACAGATACAACATGTCGTTCTATGCGGTATCTCCAAAGATCGTGTACTGTGTAGTGTAGTAGAGAATCTTTGGTAACTCCATGGCCTTATAAAAATAGTCTGTGGGTATCCCAGGAAAAGATGACATCAGAGTACTAAAATAAGCAGCTAATCAGGAAGATGCGTCGTTCTACGTTTAGTCGCATGTCAGACAGACAGACAGACAGACAGACAGACAGTCAGGCAGGCAGACAGACAGACAGACAGGCAGGCAGACAGAGATTGGGGGGGGGGGGGGCGAAAAAACAATTTAGGCTTAACAAAAAATTAAACTAGGAAAGTCTCAGAAGTCTAAGAACTTATTCACGGCTAAAAAGGCTGAGATTTGAGACGGGAATTAAGAGCAGAAAGAATGTGGTGAGCAGATTAAAGCATACAAATTTAAGGGGTTGTATGACATTCTAATGTTCATTAGATATTTTTTCTTTGACTGGCTAAAACAGACCCTCATTTTGTGACTTCTGGGATTCCCTCGTTTCAATGTTTTGGCGACTGTTTCGTCTGCTGCTTTGAGTTGAATTGTCCGCCATGTTGTTTATCATTGACGGGATTAGAAGACGTAAAGTCGTAATGGTTTCCAAGCAATTGGTATTTGGGAAACTAGAAACTATTTATAGGCTTTTGTAATTCAAGGTGTTAATTATTATATTTTATTATCGATGGATATATTAATTATAGATTCTAATACAAAATTTCAGAAACATTGTCCTCATCACTCCTCTTTTTTAACAGCCAGTACATGGATGAAGGCAGGCTATTTCATATTTTTGCAGCAGTATCGAAAAAAATCTCTTGCTCGATTCTTTTTCGGTCTTTCTGACTTTATGGGCAAAACTCCTCTTTTGCAAATGGGTTCACCCCTCTAACTAAAACTGAAATTTATTAGCATTTTTTCCATTAACTTAGATTCAATTGTTTATTAGAAAGAATCTGATGAATTTTGCAAAACTTAACATTTCTCCAAGGAGATTAAAAGTTCTAAACTCCTTGCATTTCTCCAAACTGATTTGCTCTTTGCTGCTGCCATTTTCATAGTCGAGTTCTGTAATTTTCAATTTTCAAGTATTTTACGACAATGGGAATGAAAGCGGAAGAATCTGTAGGATGTTTGTAAACATGACTGTGGAAGGCGAAGAATGTGAAATTTCCTGAGCCTGTACTGGACCAACTAATCTAGATCTATCGTACCAGTATTATCAGGGTTTCTTTATTTTTCATATTTACAGTTGACTGGAGAAACAACCCTACCAACATTCATAATGTTTATGTAAGTCCTCGTCGTTTAGTTTAGTTTGGGTAGAAGAACTTAGAAGGCCTTCGTCCTTGTTATTGTACTTGTTAGTGTTTGACTTTTTTTAGCCTTTAAAAAAAATTTACCTTCCTTAATTAAACACGACATCCTTCCTTTGTTAACTCTGAATGTAGATCCACTCCTTTTTGTCACGGCCAGAAAGTAGACTATTTTAAAGGGAAGAGGCTAGCCGTACTTACTGACGGCTAGACTGTACTTAAGTACGGCTAGACTCGCGGTCTAGCCGTACTTATTCTTAATATGATGGCTAGACTGACCTATTTACAAAAAATAGGCCTACTGAATCGTAAATATACATTTTTAGTGTGCAGTACCTAAAGTATTTGTGTTTGAGACGAAACCAGGGGCCTTAATGACAGTGCATGTCTTTTAAACCTGTTTTCTAATGTTAATAGGGCCTAAGATAAGTACGGCTAGACTTCTTGTCTAGCCGTACTTAAGTACGGGAAGACAGCCAGGCTAGCCGTACTTAAGGACAGCTAGACTGTCAGGCTAGCCGTACTTAATATTGATGGCTGAATTGTAAATGAAATTTTTAGTTTGCAATGCCTAAAGTATTTGTATTTCAGACAAAACCAAAAGGTGCCTTACTGACTTGCGTGTATTTGAACCTGAATAATTACTAGATCTAGACCTATAATGAGACCTGTGTACTTAACAGGCTTGAGTCGATTGGGCCAAACCTAGATCTAAGTACGGCTAGCCACTTCGATTTTAAAGTTAACTCTTATCCTGCGTCTGTGCCCAGATATGCATCTTTCAGCAACCGATTACGTCAGACGTGCCGGGCAGGCCGCCGGGGTCACTTAGTGTGTACTGTTGGTGTACAGCGCACGCGCGCTCCGGGAAACGTGTGTTTTCGCCATGAATGCCGTGTGAGTGTGTTAACCGATGATGAAAATAGGAAGTGGCTATTCTCACCCGGGGTGAGAGTTTTCTCACCCAGGGTGAGACTTGCCAACGTAAGCTATTCTCACCCGGTGTGAAACAAGACCTGTTTTTCCTAATTTCGGAATACTTTCTATCGATGTGGATGATCAAATGGATAAAGGCAAAGAAAAAATTACGTTTTAGCACAAAAGTAAGCTAATTTTATAGACTACAAAGATGCTATGGCTATTTCACTTTTCGAATCGAGCCGAACTACGGGGTCGCCATTTTGTTTTGCCCGGAAGTTCTCGCAAGATCTATTCCTCCCCTCTTCTCTCTCTCTGTCTCTTTCTGAATACTGTCTATCGGTGTGGACGATCAAATTGACCAAAACAAAGTTTAAAAATGATGTTAAAACACAAAAGTAAATTAATTTGGTCGTCTACAAAGATGCTACTGTTATTAAACTTTTCGAATCAAGCCGAACTACGCGGGTCGCCATTTTGTTTTGCCCGGAAGTTTTCGCGCTACTCCTCTCTCTCTTTCTCTCTCTCTCTCTCTCTCTCCACTGCCCAATGACAAAATTGTACGCTAGATAAAGGCTAACAGTAGTAATGGAACGTTTGTTCACAGCACAGAATTCTACAATTTTTCTGTTATCACAGTGTAGAATTCTGTGGTTTAAGGTGAACGCAAAATTGGTTGGCCTAGATCTAGGCTATTATAAACGGTGAACGCACACCGGGTGAGAATAGCCAAAAGACTCGCCGCGCTTTTCTCACCCGGGATGAGAATAGAGGTGGCCATGAAAATAACGCTCTATCTTTCATAGCTTTCTATTTATAAAGTGTTACCAACACATGACATGAATAACCCCCTCTCACAAGCTGATAAGACATTACGAGTAGTTACGCCCATTCGAATTATCTTTCTGGACGTTCTTGTTGTTATGAATGACCTGAGGTTCGAAAGGGGATAATTTAGGTCAATTTCCTAATGTTTTACACTCAAATTGTTCTTTGTATCTCTGCACAATGGTATTCAAAACTATCAAACAAGCTTATAAATATATTTTTTATCATTTCATATACAAAACCTTCAAGCTCATTTGAAATATTTTGTATAGAAAAATAGAAGTCTTGTTTCCTGACTATCCTTTCGAGCTCCTCATGTCTAAGTGGGTCAATTTTTTCTATAATTTCATTGGACGAACATCTAGAGCTACCAACTTGGCATGTTTTGAATGAGACGTATGCTTCGATTACGAACCAACGCAGGCGATTCTAATAGAAGGCCACAAACGCACACAAACTCAAGCAGACTGACGCACACACACTTGACCTGCGTGAATGGGGATTCGACTCGGGACCCGAATGACACGTAAGATAGATGATGCGCGATGCTGATTCAGGACCAGAACGTAGGCGAGGTGCCGAAATAGGCTTGTAGGCGAGGTGCCGAAATAGGCTTATCGGGCTACATAAAGCCGGCTCCCGCAGGACGAGGGTTAAAGTAAGCTACTTTGTTGTTGCTTTTGGCCTTACTTTTTTACTCCTTACTACACTACAGACTACAGTAGTAGTCTCCACCTAAGATCCCGGTTCTCGGGAGCAAGGAAATGCGGGATCTTAGACGAACCGGGATCTCAACCGACGAACCCAGGGAAGAATCTACGGTGACCCATGCTCACAATCGGTAAAATGAAAATGGTCTCCCTCCACTCTAGTCTAAAAGGAACTGACGTGACCCCTGGGTGGGTTTATGATGCCTGGCGAGCAAAGAGTGGTTAACCTTGATGACCTATCACAGTGCATAGTGGCATGAGGCGTGCCATTTTTCACATATTATCCTATAATGAGCACATATTATCCTGGAGCGAACGTGTAGGCCCTACCAACCCAGCGAGTGATGCAAGTGTAGGGGGAGAGCTCGGGTGTGAGTGCGATGCGTGGGGAAAACTAACGTGTCGGTCAGTTCCCACATCGGTGGGATCCTGTCTGGGGCAAACATTGTCGCTTCATCGAGTTTTCAACGTGTATGTGATCACTTTCACGATAGTGGCTGATCTTTGACGCAACAGACAGTTTATTGATCTCAACTTTTCACTCTTGGTTGATTGGCTGTGCCCGCTCGGGTTTTTGTTCCGCAAATTTTGATCTGAAATGCGGGATCATAGCCAAATGTAGACCTTCAGAGTGAATCGGAGCGGGATCTTAGGGGTGACTTTTGTATAGTAAAAATTCTGTTTTCTTAAAACAGCGGAATCTTTATCGAACGGGGATTGTAAGCGGTGGGATCTTACGCGGAGACTACTGTATATTCTATTTGTGAATTGTAGGAGGAATTCCGGCCGCAAGGAGTGACCTCTGCCACAACTAGAGAATAGACTGTACTACAGGCCTTTGCCTTTGGCTTTACCACGAAATAGAGATAGAGGGTTAGAGGTTAGGTTAAGTCTGGGCAAAGAGTCTAAGGAGGCTACGTAACAAGAGGGTGAACACTCCTCTCTTTGAGCCAATTAAAAAAGTGTCCTCAAAATTCCGTGGCGCCCTCTTCACAAATGCGCACCCTTTGCAAACAGAGTTGTAACCCTTCTTGTGTGAAAAAATCAAAGTGAAACCGACAAGTTTTTTAATAAATAAGAATTCAAATTTCGGAAGAAAGCTTTTTAAAAATGGTTATGCTGACAAAAAACCTCTTCTGGAGGAGGAGGCGACTGTTTTCTTTGTTTAACTTGACTTTAGAATGAGAGGCGAGAGGTCATTAAGATATGAAAAAACCTAAAACTCTGCTCTGAACGAACCCAAACTGCTGAACAGCAGTTGATTGTGCTCTCAAGGGGGTGCTATGGCTATTCCTATTCTTCTTGTGGAGAAACGAAAGAGAGCTTCAAAACAAAGACTGCAGCGCCTTCTGAGCCATTGCGCAGACTTCTGCGGACACTATTTTGGCTGAGTGAACCATCTTGTTATGTCCCATCTTATGGTTTTAAGTCTCTTCATGTCTCTTCTTTATTGTGTTTGTTGGAGTGGTGGTTAGTTCCAGAAGTCTTTCCCTTCTTTCGTCTTTAGATTGACCAGCTCTATTTGGACTCGAGTCCGACTAGATTTTTTATCTGTTCGGATTCGAGTCCGAATATGGGTTTCATCTATTCTAACTCGGGTCTGAAAAAAATGTTTTATTTATTCGGACTCAGCTTTTAATTGAGTTTTATGTGAGTGTAAGGGGGTTTAAGCCTTAACTCATTCGCTACGCCGAGCCGTGGGGGGCGGCGCGGCTAGAGTGCCGTCAGTACGCTAAGCCGCCCCCGGCGGATCGAGAACTGACGTTCAATTTTAGCTTGGTTTCTATTTCAATCCACATATCCATGTTAAAATAAAGGTCATAATATAAAGTTGACTTCCGGGTCAAGTGTTTCCACCGAAAATCGGAAGTTTTGATTCAGTTTTGAAACAGGATTTCGAAGTTTATGCGACATTGTTTTATCGCGAAGCCCAAATTATAGCCAGACACCAGTCTTTGTGCTTTTACACAACAAAATGTATCATTATTTTGCTCACTAAAGAAGTGTAGGACTCTTCTTATAATATTGATACTACTAGACTCAAATTGCCAGTGCACTGTAATTGAGAAATCAATATTTTTGAGTGCTAGATCTAGGCCTAGATCTAAATAGTCAAAATATTTTTTTCTCCCCAAAATCACTACTTTTTGGTGAATTTACTCAAAAGTACCACCCAAAACATGTATAGGTTTATTCCAAATGCAATTCTGAATAATTCCATATAAGATAGGAGTGTTTTTTTCTGTTTGGGATCCTTTTTTCAAAATTATTTTCAAAATTATTTTTTTTCAATATCGGAGGTTACGATCCAAATGTATAAATATTATGGAATGTATGTAAATAACTGCTCATTTTTCAATATTTTCCTGTTCTATATACAGTTATGGTTATTTTGATGTATAATTTGACTAGGTGCAAACATATTTTTTGAGTTTCATCTGAGATTATAAATTTTTTGTTTTCAAATTTTATCCGCAGCCAATCACAATTGTGTTGCATAATCACCTCTTACAGGAACCAAAGTTGAAAAATACTCAAATAAACAATACAGATGTATTCTACAAACCATACTGAAAATGTTGGTATATAATATGTTGATATTTATTTGAATTTATGGCCCCCAAGACCTGTGAACTGCGCACTAGTCATCATCTCATTTCGCCCTCCCGAAAAAAGTTCGTCTACAAGCCGAAAATAATATGTAGCGAATGAGTTAAGAATATAACTATCGTCGGGGTATTTTAAGTAAAACCAGAACTAGAACTAGAATTACCAACTAGGACTGTGTAATTGTGTCAAAAGTCAAAAGACTGCCCTCTCATTGCGCAATGGCAGTGTCTAAGTATGCGGTAATCAACAACTCAGGGTCTTTCCACCACCACTACAGCATCATCATTACTTCCACCACCATTTGCCTTTTGATATGTTTAATTTCATTTTGTTGTGTGTGTTATAGTTTTTTTCTGTACTTAATTTAAAAAAAAATCACATTGCACAAAATCGACAACCGTGGCCTCTTCCCAACACCTCTTCCCCCAGCAAGCCGCGAGTGCATGATCGCTACACGCAATCTCATTGGTCGACATAATTAACTTGCCCCCGGCAAGGTCAACTCAACTTGGTTTTTCTGTTCATGTTCATACCAATGATGCAGGGAGGGTCAATTTAGATAGATTTAGTAACTGGATATTAAAGCTCACGTCTCGACTGTTATCATTATAAAAAATGTTTCATAAATGCTGGAAATATTTAGGAACAAGGGTCGGAATTCGGAATGGATGTCATGCTGGACTCAATTCAGAGTCAGAATATAATTTTTGTCTAACCGGACTCGGAGTCCGAATAGTCACATCACTTTAGATTAGTGATTAGATAAAGTTTAGTCTGAGAAAATTGGCACTACATCGTACTTCAAACTTGAACTTCTATCTTGGACCTCATGAATATAATATCTCTTTAAAACATATCACCCTAAACTTTTAATTTTACTCTTGCATGCAGATGCTCTACTTTCAGAGGCCAAACTGATACAGTTTTGCCTGTCAAACACTAATATGGCCACTAAACCACCATGCTGTAGAAATTATGGATAATTTTTTAAAGAAAATCTCCAATAAGGGGGTGGGGTTCAACTGTTTTACTGTGGTTGTCTAGTAGGACCATAGTCGCCCCATGAGAAATTCACTTTTATTTGGTTCTGGGGATGGTCAGGGTTTGGCACCAATATTCAGATTCCATCTTGTCAGGGCCCTGTGACTTGAATTTATAATTTTAGATTAGTTATATGTTACTGACAGTATTTCTTGTTGACTTCTGTGGTATTTCCTTAGAATTAAGATGGTGGATTCTATATCAACTCTGACTTAGGCTTTGAATTCCTCTGTTGTCTCAGTCTGTTCTGAACGGGAAGTTTTAGAAGTCCCATTGAGAATTTCCAGTTGTTGTGTTGTTTGGAGAATTATGAGCTGACTAATTGTGATTGATCATTTCAGGTGTGACTGGAAGTTTTGAGTGAGCTTGAAATGGATCGGTACGAGATCATAAAACGTTTAGGATTTGGTGCGCATGGGGCTGTATATCTAGTCAAGCAGGTGTCTACCAAGAAGTAAGTTCTTGTGTTTCTTTTTCTGTGGTTTGTTGGTTCCTTAAACAATTGTGGCACAGTTTCAATTCACTTCATTGTATTGTCAAAGGAATACCCCGTAGCATCAGTTACAGTATGTATTTCTTATTTTTTCATGCAAAAGTTTAATTAACTTCTTCTACTATGCAAACAAATTGGAACAGAATATTTTCCCCAGATATGGCTCTGTATGAAAAAAACAAGGAAAAGTAAGAAATAAAAAATTGTTAAGATATTGAACGGATTTATAAACAATTTTCGTCAATGAGTCCCTTTGATGAAAGAAGAAGAAAAAAGTTTGCTTTTAAATACAGTCTTTAAAAATGTTTTCTTTGCACCATTGTAGAAACCAGATGTTGTTCTTGAAACTCTTATCCTTAGTAGGGAATGTAAGAGTGCTTATTGTTATAAGTTTATAACCTTTCTGCTGTTGTGAGCACGTTAAACACTTGCAAAAAGAAAAGAGCTCTTATATATATATATATCAGTTTTAAACAGAGGTTATTTCTTTATTTTTAAGGCTTTTTGCATTGAAGAAAATCGAGGTTGATGAAAGGAAAAGAACAAGAACTAGGGAGGCAGTGCTGAAAGAAGCAAGGTGAGTTGTTCTCCTTATATATATGAAGGGTTTCATGACAAAACACGCAATATATGCCCATTTTAGCCAAGCTGAGATATTTGCAGATTTGGACTCATCCTGTTGATGCACAGATATTTTGATTTATTTCACTAAATAGACAACATTGAAAGGTATCCTCATGCAAAAAATTTGAAATCCGTTCTTAAATTCATGAACAGTAGACAACACTTTATATTCCCTTTTTTGACAAAATGCAATATATCCATTGATGGCTCTTTTCACAAAACGGCATATATTCATCTGGTAACAATAACTTCATTAAATGAAGTAAATTCCGCCTAAAATCAAAAGTAAACAACATCGGGAATCTTGCCACTACTACTTGAATGGCGATCGCGCTTATATTAGAGACTTATTTGCTATAATTTTCTTTGTCTACTCGCTTACTCCTACCCCCCCCCCCCCACCCCCCACCCCTACCCCAACTCTCAGTGGTCAGGCTCACGTCTTCTGGGCTGAAATCGAATGTATTTATGATTGTTCTCTTGGATAAACTACTAACTGTTATTAAAAGTTTTAATCACAGTCGAGTCGACTCGAATCCAAATCAGCTGTTTTGCACTTTGTCGTCATCCTTAACAACGAATGGGAGCATCACCGGGAAATCCTTATTTATTTAGATGCTCTGATTGGTCGAGAGGATATATCGCAATGTGACGAAAATTTGCAGACTCGTATATCACAGTTTGTAACAAAACAGGAGATTTAGATTACGTTTTCAATGGGTTGTAAAGCCTTTTGGGAAAAAATAATATTATTTCCACCTTCCTACTTCCATTGTGATTCCATCAAGGGTATAAACTCAAAAAATTGATTTTGGCATATTTTTAGGTATGTCATGAAACCCTTCATATATAGAATCTCATTTGGAGAAAGCTTATTTCAAATGCTTTTTTAATATTGAGGGAATGCATTAATAATTTAAATTAAAAAAATGATTTTCAAGCACTGTATAACTATATATGACAAAATACAAATGTATGTGTGTGTGTGTTTGTGTGGGTGTGTCTCTGTCTGTCTGTCTGTCTGTCTGTCTGTCTGTCTGTCTGTCTGTCTGTCTGTCTGTCTGTCTGTCTGTCTGTCTGTCTGTCTTTCTGTCTACACCTGCTTCTACTTCTGTCTAGATTTCTGTCTTGCCAGTCCGTCAACAGAGGTTTCAGTCAAGCAAAGAAATCAGCCACTGCAATTCTTCATATGGCACCTGCCTTGAAAATGCCTTTTTGTGTTCTGCAAGTTGTAAAATTCAGAGATGAACCAGCAAAAATTAGTTTATTACCGATTTTTTAATGATAAAATGTTTCATATTAAATTGAAAGATGTATAGATCCAAGCAGAATTTTGTTCGGAATTGAGACTGAAGTATTGAGACATGTTGTTGTACAGAGAGCGAAGAAGTAGAAGTAACCGTGTGTGATGTCCTTGGATACATTGTGTTCTCTCTCTGTTTCAGCATCTTGTCCCAGCTGAAGCACCCTCACATCGTTTTGTTCCACGAATCTTTTGTGGATCCTACACTGGACTGTGTCTGTCTCATTCTGGTGAGTCTTACTGTTCTAAAGGTCGTAACATATAGTGGTAACCTGAAAGAGGGAAAACAGGAAAAAGCCATGAATTTGATTGTCAGATTTCCTGGTTAAGAGGACACTGAAAATGAAAACAACCGGGAGAAAGCCAGGAATTCAAAAGGCCGCCCTTCGTTACTTATTTGGCAGAATCGTTGTTTCTTTCTTCTTTTGTTTTCAATCCGGGACACCCCTGATTCTGATTTTAAAAAATTCATATGCCGTTCGGCTTTCCCAACCCATCCCCACCTTCGCGGTGTATAAGTTAGAAAAACAGATCTCGACAGTCTTAAAATAATCGTTTTGAAAATGGTAAGAGGGGAAACTGGGAGAAAACCTGGACATTTTTTCTTTGTGACGAAAGGGAACCCTGATGTGGGCAACCTCTCTAACCCCCCCCCACCAAAAAGACTAAATTGAATAAAATCTGGTTTTGCCGCAGATCAAGTCTTGTTTTCAGCAGACTCCACTGTGTAAGGAAAATTGCCTGCACAAACAACCTTTAGCCCCTTTTCTGTTGCGGGGGGAGGGGGGGGGTGTTGTCCGGGACTAAGTCCCATAATTATTTTCAGTGTGTTTATTGATGACTGCTGTATTGAACAAAAAGTTTGTCTGTGGTTATCATAAAAAACAACAACACAGCTTTGATGTTGTTTGGATCCACAGGCGTTATTCAATAGACTTTGCCCAAACATTTTTAGTGCCAGACTTCAGGATATTATCATGGTCTCCCTTGCAGACGAAATACTTTATTTTTACGGGTAGACTCTCTGTGAATATAATAATATATAAATATTTTCTTCAGACATTATCTTGTGGGAACTGTATTTGATAAAATAAATCAAGCTAGTAACACACTCCCGACACTACTTTCAACCTGTCACATTTTACTACGCACTGATCTATAACAGCCGTGGAGATCCCTTGGTTATTGAAAGGGTTAATAAAAAGCAATCTTGAGCGAACACGCTTTGTAGATATGGACAAATCGTCATCTCAAAACTATTTAATCTAAAGTACTCTTTTTAGTTTAAGTACTCTTTGGTCAAAATAGTTCTGAGGTGACAGAATGTTGAGCCTCTGTTCTTTTAACCTGAAGAGGTATAACAAGCTTCATGATTTCACTGAACATTTTTCGCTGGTTTCCTGACAGGATTACTGTGATGGAGGGACCATCTCAGAGAAGATCCAAGATGCCTCACAGGTAAGGAACATTTTGAATGATGACTGAAAAATATAGCTTGAAGATTTCTGGTCAGACGTTTCAGAAGACTTTTATGGGATATTGCTGTGTAATCTGTGAAAGCATAGAAGATTATCTTGATGTCCATGAATTCTTTGCAACTAAATCATTTATAGCTATATTGATAGAGCACTCAAAATTTTAACTTTTGGGTGTTTGCTCTGTCTTTGAGTAAGTTTGTCTCTCTGAGGCTTTGAACTCTAGTATGGTAATAAATATGATGATTGTGCTAACATGCAAAGTAATAAATCGGAGCTTGTCATTTGTGGAAGTTTTTAGACCTGTCATCTGGAATGATCTGATGTTATTGAAACGATAATGGTAACGAAAGTCATGACTTTGATAATAATAATAGTTATGATAAATGTGAAAAAGAAAAGTTGAAGATAAAAAAAAAAGTGGAGAATGAGAAAGCATGAGCCCCACTGTATTCAGATCCTGTGTTAATTTTGTAATTTTTACCCCCCCAGAACTGTCTCAATTTCTCGGAGAAGCAGATCATGCAGGTAGATCTATGTGTTTTAGCCGTTTGTACTCTGTCTTTGAATTCAGCACTTTCCAAACCTTGCATGCTGAGGTTTCAGTTCTTTGGAAATGAGTTGATGGGACTGGTATGTAATAGACCCAAGGCTTCTTAAATTTCACATTCCTACTAGGTTTTAAGTGAAAGGTTGTGGGAAAGGGAGGAAGGAGGGGGGAGTTAGTTAAGATAATATTACAATATCACTAATGTTTAAAAAAATTATATTTCAAACTTTTGAGCAAAGCTAATACGTAGAATTGATAGTGCAATCCTTGTTAGAAAGTATGCTTTTTGTAGCTTTGAGATACCTGTTACCAACTATGGTGATCTTGGGACTTTAATTGTGTTTGTTTTTGTGATATCACAAATGTTTGTTATATTGGGGGGGGGGGGGGGGGGGGGGGGGGGTTCAGTTTGTAACCCCTTATTTACATGAACAGTTGATGACTATGTTTCTTTTTTTGAAAGAATTTTTGCAATTTTATGACCATTGTTATCAGCAGTATTACTGTGAGTAAGACACTGTGTTCATAACAGAATAGCCGAAGTCATTTTTCTTTTGTTTTGAGAGGACTTGAAAAAAAACAACCAGTGCATGCCTTAGTCAACATCATGACTTGAGCAAAAGTTGACATGTCTCAGTATTTGGAGTTTGTTTTTAGTACTCGAAACAAAATCATTTCATATTTAGGATACGAAATAAGTAACAGGCATTTTGACCATTCTGACAGAGACCTGAAAACAACAACTGACTTGTCAATTCATGTTATGAACCAGACGAAGAAGGTTTTTTCATTTTTTGCACTTGTTTTGATCTCTTCACATGTCCAGTGGTTCATCCAAATTGTGATGGCTGTCCAGTACATGCACTCTAAACACATCCTACACAGGTACGGCCTCCTTCTGTTTGTTATATATTTGATTTTCACTTTTCGTCTCGATTTATGTTTTTTTATTTAGGTATTTGGACTGGTTGTGGGACTTAAATTTATTGTTCTTTTTAACAAGTTTTGATGAACATCTCGTTTTAGCTAGCAGTATGATTTAATCTAATGCATCTTTTTTTATTTTTGAACTTTATCTTTGTAGCTAGTATTACAATTAATGAAAAGTTCACTGACTTTCGGAATGATTGAGTTTTGGGTTTGATTTTGTATGATTTTTTTTACATAGATTGTAGTTTGGTGTTTACTTGTTAAAAAATGATGCACATCATGGATAGTTTTATTTTTCCTTCTTGCCTTATAATTTTGTTTCATTTCTAATACTTGTCACAGAAGACTGATGCCCACTTTTGTGCCCTTTGTGGGGATTTTTTTTCAGTGCAACTTTTCAATATTTTCTTATGACATTTACAGACTTGCAAAGTACCCACATATAACTTGATTTTTGCAGGTTGTTATTGCTTTCCAAAAGACCCTGATCAGTTTTCCATAGAACTCAATAAAAAAAAACAACTGCAGACAGACAAATAGATCCTGTATTTGTGACAATAAACTTTCATGGCTCCTTGGGTTGAACTTGATCTTTGTCTTTTCTTTCATGTGTACATTGCATTTTTGGAATGCTTTTATGGAGGCGGGAACATAGAGGGATAAAAAAAATGCACAGTTTCATCTTCATGCCAAGACCATGCCGTAAGGCTTATGGTAAACAAATAAAAAGTATCTGTACTGAAAATTTTCCCTCCTTTTTCAGCCATTTGTTTTTATCATTGTGTGGAAAGGATAAAGAAATGCACAGTTTTTCATGTTATGCTAGTAGTGATAATTTAAAAAACCAACAGATTCCCTTCTTTAAATGCAACTGCACATATTTGCGTCCATTCTTAAGAGTTCACTGGCAGTTTGTTTATTTGGTGGGGTTTTTTTTTTTTGGGGGGGGGGGGGAGAAGTGGAGGGGAATAGCAGCAGTCAGTGTTAATCTGCTGGAGTTACATTGACTACATGCCCCAATTTTGATCATCAAGGGCTTGGCAGGTCTTGGTTTTGCCTATTACAGCATAACATTCATAGACAGACTTGTCTTCTTTGCTGTTATAATGAGCATTTTCCTCTTTATTTTATAATTTTTCCCCTTCTTTTTTGTCCCCGCTTGAGTATTGTTTTTTTTTTCTTTCTCAGAGATCTCAAGGCAGAGAATGTCTTTTTGAACAAGAGGAATGTTGTCAAACTTGGTAACTAAACCTATGTTTGTCTTTAGTTGTGGGTGGTTGGTGGGTGCTCTGGTGTGGTTACTCTCTTGTAACACCTCTAATCTTCTGGCACTCAAATGACCTTATGCTGTTGTGAGCGCTGTAAAACCTCTACTAGAAGTAATCTCTTTAGTTCCTTCACTGTAATATCTAATGCAATGTTTTAAAAGTTGCGTTTAAAAAAATCAGGCCTTCAGACTTTATTTGACCACCAATCATTCTGAAATTTACAATGAAATAGATATCGTCTTTGGTTATACCCTTTTGGAGTCGGAAATCAGGTACAAACCTGCTACTATTTTTAATTTTATAGACAAATTAGCTTTTAGGCTGTTTACATGGCCATTTATGATTTGCATTTTCTGAGGTCAACCCCTTCCATTTATTTATAGACATCTATGGATCTCATACAAATTGGAAATAGTTTCTCTGTGGTTATATCCGATTTGAACACTTTCAGTATGCGAAACACATGAAGTATTTTTCTGTCACCATGTTGCACAGTTGAGTACCTTTGTTAATATGTGTATGTGTGTTGGTGTTGAAGTTTTGGTAATCCTTGTCAGAGAATGGACTTTCAACTGACAGATTCATAATTTTGACCTGGCATTGCTGAGCTGGAGGGGGGAGAGGAAGTCTGGTGCATCTGAATGACTAATTTCACACTAACTAGTAATAGTGGAGCAGATTTAACTTCACAGAATGGTAGAAAAATGGTTTTGATAGTACCTTGTGAAATGTTTATGGCTCTTGTAATACTTCTCTATTTGATAGTGCCAAAAGTGATGATTTATGAGGCTTGAAACAGATTGGTTTATGTGGAGGTCTTTGGATAGAATTTGGCCCAAGATGGTTGGTTTTGAACCAAATGAAGAAATAAACCCTGTTGTATGACATACACTCCCTTACAGCAATTTGAAGTAACTCTGACTTTAAAGATGTAACTTACCATTGACTGTTTTTAAAGTCAGGATGAGGATTTTTTAAATGTGTCATAACGGTAAAGGTCTTGATTTGCAACATTTTTACTAGTTCTATGACTGTGGTTTTTTTTGGAAGGATTTATTTTCAGTATTTAACTGAAGAGCATGAAGTATACCCTAGTTCAGAGAGTCTATGGTGTAGCAGTTAAACACTTCACCATTGCACGGAGAAGGCATGAATTCGATTCCAGTGTGGGAAAGTTTTTTCTTATTGAGTATCTCCATCTGTTTGCTGAAACATTGTATCTCTCTTAGTGTGGATTGGCCCTGATTGGCTGGGTCAAAGCAGTGTATGATCCAAATTGTGTCGCTTGGGGCGTAAAACATTTACAAATTACAATTGCTATTAATCAGAACATCTGTTATTGAATTCAGTTAACATTCTACTTTGTTGAAGGCACCTGATTTAATAATTTGTCATAATTCATTTGAGAGAATTTAAAATCACTTGTAAAATACTGCAAGTTGTTCACATGGAAAGTGCAATGTCTAGATATTTTTTCCAAAATTATTAATCAAATTTACTTTTTTCTTAGGTGATTTTGGAATCTCCAAAATTCTGGACAACACAATTGATGTGGCCAAGACTGTTGTGGGCACACCATCTTATCTGAGCCCGGAGTTGTGCCAAGACATTCCCTATAATTCCAAGTCAGACATCTGGGTAGGTCTTTTTTCACAACTCTGTAGTAGATTGTAAGGTTTGTTAGTCTTCCCACAGTGATCCCAGAAGTTGCGCACTAGGCCAAGCTGTTAGAAATGAAGACCATACCTTACTTATAGGAAGGATTTGGTTTCCAGGGTTTTTATAGAACTTTTTCATAATTTCTAGTTTGTTAGCAGGGTTGGGTGTCATTTTCTTCTCTTATGTTATAAAGGGTACAGCAGAAGGCATAACTCATGCGTTGCAAGTACTTTATTTTTTGGATCAGGCGGCCATCTGAGTTCGAGTGCTTTGGCCTGCATTGCCAGTACATGATGCCCTCCCCCAAACCCCCTCCCCCCAAATGCCATCACAACAATTTAAGCCTGCTGTTTCGTTATCTCTCATCATGACCCCAGATGGTGAGGCTACATTGGCTACATTCCCATAGCCCCTGAGTCACTTTAGGGTCATCCTCTGCGTGTGAATGTTTTGAAAGTGATTGTATTTAGCTTTCTTTGAAGGAGGGAGGAAAGGGAAATCTTCAATGAATGCGTTGTGTACTGCTGAATGTGTTGTTTAGATAAGTGTCTAGTCGCAATGGAATCAGGCGCTTGTTAATTTTTGGACATATGGAGTTATTGGTATCATCTTTCAGCTTGTTAATTTGTCTGATCTTTAGACGAAAAAATGTCCGTCTATCTTGAATAAAAGTCGTAATATATGTGATTTAAGAAGGTGGTGGTCGCCCGGTTTCAGAGGTAAAATTAGCCAGAAAAAGGCCGCCGAAGTTTCGTGATGTCCGTAACTTTAGAGTCCTTGGAAACTGAAAATTTACATTTTGTGTGCCTTTAATCGACATTTATTTTTCAGTAAAATCCACAGAGAAATTTATTTTTGAATGGACAGAAAAAGTGTTGAACCAAAAAATAAAATTTTGATAAAAATTGCCAAACGGGAAGAAAAATGACATTTTATTCCTTTTCATTATTTTGACGAGCGCCTGATTTCACCATGATATCTCACATTTTGTACTGATGAATATGTTGTGTGCTGACCATGAATGCTTTGTGTTTTTGGCAATGGATTGTGCAAGTACATGATTTGGACAGGCGGTAGATTGAATTTCTCTCATTTTCTCTCATTTTGAGTTTTGTCTCTTTTCTGTGTGTTAATTAAAAAGTGAGTAATCTTATCTGATATTCAGATCCTTGTGAGCGCTGTGGTGTCCTTGAGCAGATGGTGACAAGATCTTTTGTTGACTACACCACATGAATGAGAGATTTTGCATACTGTGCTTCTGATTTGATATGCCTTACTTTGTACTGTTAGAAGTGAATGTATGCTTTACTTGGCACTATGATTGTAAAGAATTTTCACCTCCTCTGATGAACAAAGCAGACCTTCCATTTTTCATGTTTATTTTGTTAGGTTATTGTGTTGTGAAAGTTTCATAATGTTACTGTCGCAAGGAAATTGATTTACTCCAGTTCTTTTGTAACCCACCCGACAAAAGATGGTCAAAAGAAGCTACTCATTCTTATGTTATTGGTTTTCGGTGTAGTAACCATTTGGAGACTTACTCCATCATGTTCTCAGGCTGTGGGTTGTCTGCTGTATGAGATGTGCGCCCTCCGTCGCCCGTTCGATGGACAGAGTCTCATCGGGTTGTTCTTCAACATCGTCAAAGCTGATTATCAGGTGTGTAGTCTTCTGTTATTTGTGCTTGTCTGTCTTGCTTTTTCCCCTGCACTAAATATAGAGTATCTTCGAAATCGGACTGTGGCTGCCTGAAGGCAAGGAGCCCTATGGAGTAGGAAAAATGGTCACATAATGTTGCACTGCAGGTTGAAGAGCCAACAGTCGACTACTTTTGAGATTCAGCAGGGACACTCAAAGAAACTCAAAGCACTCTCTCTCTTTGTCTGTCTGTCTGTCTGTCTGTCTGTCTGTCTGTCTGTCTGTCTGTCTGTCTGTCTGTCTGTCTGTCTGTCTGTCTCTCTCTCTCTCTCTCTCTCTCTCTCTCTCTCTCTCTCTCTCTCTCTCTCTCTCTCTCTTCCCCTTACCCTCCCAATGCACCTTTACACAGTATTCTCTTACACATGCACATGTGCCTTGTTCAATTGTGCACGGATACAGTATAAGATATTGAGTTTAGTTTAAGAACCTACAGTTTCATTGCCTGCTACACAGATGCTCTGTTAATTGTGCAAAAAAGAATTTTTCGGAAGAACAGGACTTTCTGTCTCTCACGTTTTTCCATAATTATATAATTTTTTCTGTCTCTCTCTTGCAGCCTCTCCCAGCAGATGCACCTAAGGGAATCCACGACCTCATTGCTCAGATATTGGTCAAGACACCTGAGAACAGGCCCAGGTTAGCTTTACCTTTGTGCATTTGTAGAAGCTTTTTTTTACGACTGTTGACGCAATTTAGATCATGTAAGAATTAGGCTGCTTTGATTCAACCAGTCATGTTTTTTTTTTCTTTTTTAAGTAAGAGTTTTAGGACAATCGCAACTGTGTAAGGTCATATGAGCATGCATTCAACCTGTCGGTACCAATCTAGCCTGAGTAGGATACAGCATGCTAGGGAACAGACAGAGACACTCAATACAAAATGTTCCCCATTTGGGAATTGAACTGAAATTTTCTGTATACAATGGGGAAGAATGTAAACATTGCACCACAGGTAGTGGTGGCCGTGATTTTGCAAAGAATAGTATATGTATATTTAAACATTATGATGCATCTTTATTATGTATGTGTAGAGTCTTTTACTTGGGGGGGGGGGGGGGGAGTCTGGTAACACTGTGGGGTTTTTCCCTATTGTATGCGAAGGAAATGAGTTTGATTCCCATGTGGTTTATCTTTGGCATTACAAATAGTGTGTTATTGTTGTCATATTTTATGTTAGACATTGTTTTTAATCCACTCAACTAAACTCTTTTCTTTTTTTTAAATTCAGGTTTTGAAACCTTTTGCCTTTATGTTGTATGATGAGCTGTTTGAAATTAAGGCTGTTATTAGGATATTGTGTATTGCCTTCTGTTAATTATGCACTTTGCAATTTGTCTTTCAGTGCAAGTGCAATCTTGAATGTTCCCTATGTCAAAAGTCACCTGGCGTCTTTCATCGCAGACACTGAAAGTATTCGTGCCATACGAAGTCGCAAAGATAATCAACTGTTTCCAGGGTGAGTAGCCACTTGCATGTATCTTTGTTGAAAAATTATTTTCTTTGAGGGCTTAAAAAACGCTGATTTTCCTTGTGCTGCTTTTAATTTTGTTGCTCAGTGCTCAGCTTTGAGTTGGGAAGGGGTTTGCAGATTTTCTGTTGAATCAGTACTAATTGACGGTTCATAAATAAACAAGACATTGCTTCAATCCTCGGAGAAGGGAAAAGACAGCAGAATAACGTCTAATCATCATCACCATCCTCATCATCAAGTGTCAGATCTGAAATGGACTTCCACATACATGGTTCGCCACTCATTTCTGTGCTGGGATACCCTCGCGAAACAAAGCCTTTATCAAATTATCTATACTTAACCCTATCCATACGTCGGGTTTTACTTTCGTGTCCATACGGTATGGGTAACTCTGTGCCACCACTTTCCAAAGAGGAAATTTACTTGTTAATCCGATCCGTATGCTTTGCATAGCAGTCTATCAAAATGATTTTTGGGAAATTATACTAAAAGTTTCAAAGAGATCTTCGTACTAGAAGTATTCTAAAATGTGAAGGATACAACGGGGGAGGAAGGGGGGGGGGGGTGTACAAAATGACCCCAGGGTGTACGGATGCGGTTAAACAGATTGGACATGTGATGTGTGTGCACTAAAATCTCTATGTGTACATGTGTGTGTTTGTGTATCTGTCTGAGCAGGGCCCTGGTAACAGATTGGCCATGTGATGCGTGCACTAAGATCTTTATGTGTACATGTGCGTGTGTATCTGTCTGAGCAGGGCCCAGGGTGACCAAAAGATCCTGACCCCCTCCCACAGCCCCAGACCTGTCCGGCGGCCGGTCATCCAAGTCCAACCAGCAGGCCCAGGGAGAGTTCACAACTCTGTCCCCGCTCCCAGCCAGCCGCCTGGGAATTTGGAGCCCAAAGCGAAGCCCCGGAAGCCAGGTGACTTTTCTCACTGATGCTTCTCTCCAAGTTTTTGGATAAACCTGTAGAGTGTGCTGTGTTGCTTCTTTTCCTTCCCTCTGTTGTTTCTCTCTGTGTCTTTCTATCTTTCTGTCTTACTCGTTAATGTTTTGGTGTGCCTCTCTTTACTCTTTCAAAAAACAACAACAAAAAACTGTTTTCTATGAGGAAGAAAGATAGCTCTGATGTTCTGGTTGGGGGGGGGGGGGGGGAGTGCTCTTCTGAACTGGAAACAAATGTTCTAACAAATATAATGCAACAGGGACTTAAAGATTATGATGCTTAATCTCACCCTAGCTCTAACCACAGTGGAGTGAGGGGTTGTGAGGTATAATGCTTAATCTTTTCATATATACACATCGTCGCCGTTTCAAACAATCCAATTAAGTCAAAATATTGAGATTTTTCTATTTTTACGCCCTCGCAAAACTATCAAAGATTCACCTTTCAGCATCGCCAAAATGCAGTTTAATGCTTTTTTTTTGTCTCTGATGTAAAAGTACCCAAATAGATGTAAATGGATTGCTTGCTGCTCAGGCGGGCTTTGAGGGATACAACATCCCCAGCAGAAAGACTGACATATCCAATAAAAATTTTTTCCCCTCTCGGGAGTGGAACTTGGGTCTCCTGTATTCAACAGCAAAGCTCCTAATTGTAACACCACAAAACACCAGTGTTCTCCTGCAGTAGAATTGTGTCTAACCAAAATGTTGGTGTATTGCTACAGAACACACAGAATAGGTTGTACTGTTGTTGTAGAAAATGTCATTATTCAGGTCAAGGATTCTGAAACTATTATCACAAATCAATTCAATTAATTGTGTCTAGGGATTATTTACATTGTCAAGACTGTTTTTGCCTCCCCAGATGTGAGTCCGAGTCGAGAAGAAGAGGAGGCGGAGTATTCTGATGATTTCGATGACTCTTCTGCTAGTGAAGTTGAAGAAGGTGAGATGTAACATCATGAAGATGCTGTTTATTTTGTATGTCTTTATCTGTATTTTCTGAATATCTTAAGGGTCTCTTTACAACCACCTTAACGCCCTGTCCTAGAGATTATGGATTTTTTATGTCTCCATCAACACGATATAGATACTGAGTACGTATGTAGCTTAACGTTATTATTGTTCATTTATATTATGCATGTGACTCTGAGCCTGTTTGTGAGTGCAAGTTATATTATTATGGTTATGTGCACATATATGTGTAGAAGAGAGGACAAATTGTCAGCTGTAAGGAGGAGAAAGGTTGCTCTGATGGAGTTGAATTTCGTGTCATGTAGATAACTCGGGTTTTTAGAAGTTGATGTCAAACCAAACCTAACCCTGGCCTGTCTACATCTCACAGATGAGCCAGAACCTGGAGAAGGGGGAGAGGGCAAGAGTGAAGATGACGCACAGTACGCTGATGATTTTGAGGATTTCGACTCTGATGAGGTGAGACCAGAAAAACAATTTTAGCCTCCCTGGTGTGGCATAAAAGTATGTAACTTTTGGATCTTTGAATTTTAATTTATTTCTCAAACTGCTTGGTTCTGTAAGTAATGTTACAGGTATATAATGTCCTGAATGGGATGGCTCATGGTACTACTGGCTGTGAAATGCCATAATCTATTCTAATTCATTTAAGTTTTTCTTATTCTGCCTTGAATTTTTTTCCCATTACCTTGATTCTGATGGGTACCTTCAGAATTATAAGCTTTGCTTTGGAAGTGGTTCATTCTGTATTCAAGTAATCTTGCCAATGAAGAAACAAAATGATTTTTATTGTTGTAAGCTATTTTTTTAAAACTTGGAGAACCATATTACAATGATGGAGAAATAATGTAGTCGATCATTCTGTAAAACTTTTCCTCTTGTGACCCTTTCTGTGGTCAGGACCTGGATGAGGTGGTCCTTCAGGCCCGAGAGGCCCAGGTGCTGGAGCCAGTGGACGATTTCTTCCTGGAGGATGAGGGGGAGGATCAGCTGGGCCTGTCGCAGACACTGACCCAGTCACAGGTGTTCCGCAGGTAAGTCTTAGAGCTGCTGTTTGTACATCTGTCCATGTGGCGAGCTGGTGGTAGGGTCATCTGTCAACATACACAATTTAGATGACTTGTCACACCCATTTTAGATGGTTAAACTATCAATCAAATTACAGCTAAAGATAGTAGTACTCTATTAGATTGTTCTCTCACTAAAAAATGTATCCTTGACATTTCACCCACATTTTTGTACGTGCTTTGAACAGGGCTGATAAGTAGTTTTTGTTTTGTCCCTCAGATAGAAATTGTTCTGGAATAATCTTTGCTCCAACTCTTTGTGTATGCTACCTGAGAATAGTATCAAATGTCCTAAAGAAGATGTTGCCACTGTCATTTTTGAGAACTCTTTTCGGATATCTTGAATAGACCACAAACTGCATTCTCTTTAACAAAAACATTTTTATTACTTGATCAAAGAATATGCCTTTGGTGACCTAGTGGTTGCTGTGCCAAACTCACATTTTAACTCTTTTTATCCTAGCCGTACCGCCACGGACTCTGTACCCGTCCAGGGGCCGCCGCGCCATATAAGTCGGAAGTCAGTGCGTATAGTTCAAAGTGCTATATTTCTTACGTTTACTCTAAGGTTTTAAGGAAATTTGGCAGTTAAGTTAGAAATTGAATGTAGTTTTTGTAAATGTATGTGGTTAGGAAATACACCAATAGCACAATGTAGATTTTGAGGTGTATTCCACCTTCGAACTTGACCCTGCTTGCTGCGTCCACGATGTCCCATTGGATTTTATAGATCTAGATCTAGCCCTACCCATCGAGCGCGAATTCCAGCTGACCCCTTCACCATGATCTGAATCGCTATTAGATGAGTCTAAGTCCTGTTTCTTATCATCCACAACGGAATTTACGGCTCTTATTTCAGAGTCACTTTCATCAAATTAGTATCATTCCCCCTCACAACCCAGCACCACTTCAAAAAGTACTTCGTCGGTCGTGAATGTACGTTTTCGAGACATCTTTCAAGCTTTTACACCCATCAAAAACAAAGAAACTACTGTTGATTGGAAAATTAAAATATTCAGACAGAGCTAGCATCGCCGTATTTGCGTATTTTGGTAATTACAAGTAGAACTAGCTTCTTTGACGTGACCGTATCGCTGTTCCGAGAATACTCATAGTCCGGACTGGTCCTCGTTACGAGTATACTCGTAGCCCGGATAAAAAGAGTTAAGGGAAGTGGATTTGGTTCCTGGTACAGTTAGGACTGATTATGTGTCCTATGAAAATGGCTTTAGGTGTTGTTTTTGTCTCTCAACTCTGACATGAATTGGTTCATCTCCAGTTCCATCACTAATCCGGTATTAATACGATATATGTGTTTTGCTTACTATTATGAAAACCAAGATACATGTGGCATCGTGGTGAAATCAGGCGCTTGTCAAAATAATGCAATCAAAGACACCAACATTTTTCCGCCCATTGGGCAATTTTCATTGATTTTTCTCAAGACCTTTTATGCCCATTTAAAAACATATTTCTGCAACGATTTTCCTTTAAAAAATTGATGAAAGGCTCGAAAAATGTAAATTTGCAGATGACAAAAATAAGGGCCACCAAGCGTTGGAAGTCGCAAAACTTTGATGACCATTTTTTTCAGCTAAATTTATCTCCTAAACCAGACAGACCCAACTTCCTTCAATCACAAATATCCTGACTTCTATTTCTATAGAAGATAAATTTAGATATTTTTCATCAAAAGCAAGTCAAATGAACAATTTTAAAGAATACAATAGCAGTAACTCCATATGCCCAGAAATTGACACAGAGCTGGTTTCATCATGTCATGACACATAATATGCTCTGATTTTTTTAACCTGATGGAAAATGCACTGATTAAATAAATTAAATTCTTTCTATTTGGTGAACTTTTAAAATTTGTGAATTTTAAAGATTTTCGACATTTTATTCATATTTGGAGTCTCTGCTTTTATACATAGCATCGTGTCTCATGAGCTACACTGTAGCATTTTATAAAAACAATTTAACGAATGGTGTGAATTAACAATAAAAAGCCATCTGGCTGAATGTAAGCTTATCTTTTCCGATCAGTTTATCTTTAACTTTTGCTCAGAGATTTAACAGCTACATATTTCAGTGACTTCTAAATAAAAAATAGTTTTGTACTGAATAGTCCAATAATTTTGTAAATTGTTTTCCTGTCCGTTTACAGTCAGATTGGAGTTCTGAAGTCTCAGGTATCAGATAAGGGTGATGCGGACTGTTGACAGCTGGCTCTCTGGAGTTTCTCTGCTTGTCAGTTTGGATGCTCCACCCCACTCTGCTAAAATTGGCCTTGACAGGCAGGGTCAAAGCAGCCACCTGGGGAGTTAACCTATATTATCTAAATTGGGTTGTTGAGATGCAAAACATTGACAAGCAAGTGACTGGATGTTTGGAACGGATGGGTAGATGGGATAAAAACACTTTTTGTTTTTTTCCTGCCCCAGACAGTCAGATTGTCTTCTGTTTGTCTGGTCGGTTTCTGGAATTTATGTGAGTGAACATTTGTTTTCAGTTGATCATTCCACACCATTTTGCAATTTTATTTTGTCAGTTATCAGCATGTGGCTGGACTGTGAAAGTAGTAATGATTCTAGGTCTGGAGTGCTGAGTCATCACCACTCTTTTTCTCCTTCCCCGTAAAGCCAATAATTTTTCATTGCTGAGATTTGATTGTATACCTTTTGGGAGGGGGGGGGGGGTCTTTTTTATAGTGAAAAAAGACATGTGTATTGTGTACAAAATCCTGTTTGTGCATTTCTTACGGACCTCACTGTATTTGTACCAAACAGATGTGACTTTTTTTCTCTTAGTTTTATTACATGTGGATAATATGATGAGGAGAAGATTCTACAGGTTAAGGTTCTTTTTTTTTTCTATTGGAGATGAAGATCAATTTCAAAATGCGCCACTACTTAACAGAAATCACAACTTTTCTTAAATGTCGACTATTTTTTATTTTTTAAACTGGAAAGTGTCAAATGGGGTGTAGACTCAAACAAATGTTTTGTCATTGTTGAAATATATTTTTTCCTGTCTGGCAGGGTGATTCTATCAAAGTCTAACTGTCAAAGGTAATGTTCATGTTGTTTTTGTAATTTCTTCTTGACCGGTTTGTACTGCACTCTGGTATTTTCTGATCTGATACTTTGGATGAGTTAAAGGAAAGGCGTAATGTGCCAAAGTTATTTTACTGTGTGTGAGAGTTGTGATGGAGTCAGACGTCTGAGATGATCACAAATGTATTTTTCCTGTTTATCCTTTCCCTTTACCTCATCATATTTGTTACTGTGCTCATGTTGCTCATGTATCAAAGTATTACGACGAAGGTTTTTGGAAAGGCTGTGAGTTTGTTTGTCGGGTTCAAGGGCTTTTTTTATTGAAATGTTTGATTTACTTTTTACAAACATTTTCTTACTGTAAGCTGTTTGTTTTTGTGTTGCTTCAAGGGTGCCAACATTTTTAAAATTAAAGTATTGTTTGGATTTATATTTTATTATTATTGATATATATATATTCTTTTTGGTCTTCTGCGCCTGTGACTACAGGTACGGGTATCTGAGCTGTAAAAGTGAGTTAGGCTCAATGCGGTTGTTTGCAGAACAAGTGAGTTTTATTATTATATGGTGAAATTATTTGTTTTAATTGAACGTCTCTGTCTTTCTGCTGGGATACCGTTACTCACCCAGTCTGGGTTGGCCCTGACAGGCAGGGTTGAAGCAGCCTGCCTTTTAAATTATCTAAATTGTGTCAATGGGAGCAAGAAATGTTCACAAAAAAAGGATAAAATTGTAATGTTCACATCCAGCTTTCACTTTCTTAATTTAAATGTGTACATTAACTTTTAACCCTTACAGCAATTTATAGCCTTCACTTCCATCTGGCCCAGGTACTTCTGGAGTCCTTGACTACTTAGGCCCAGCCAATACTGATTGTGTCAGTAATATTTTGCAAACATTAAAAGAATGTCCTTTTGTTAGAAGATGTAAAAAATAAGATGTAGAATGTTTTTCAGAGACAATTGGATCGATTGGGGTAAAAATACCCAACTGGGTATGAATTACTAGCTGGTGTTCTCTGAGGGAAATAGACATGACAGGGCATGGGGCCATAAGAACTTGTGTGGGAAATAATGTGGCTATAAGGGTTAAAACAATGCGTGTCGGATGTGGAAGTGGGTGGTAGTGCCAAAATTTTGACAATTACATGGTGATTTTACCATTTCATGTTCCACGATGTAGGCTCGTGATTGGCTACACTACTTATATTTACACTTTATAAATTACAAAAGAAATCAAATTTGATATATAAATGTTATGCCAAAGATTTTTAAGATGTGATGGGTCTTTGGTCTCTGTTTAAGACCCATTTGGTTCCAGTAAAATGTCGCAAGTTAATAAAACAAATTTTATAAGCACTGAGAACCTAATTGGTGGTGTTTTTCCTAGAACAAGAATAATTTGTAGATTTGGAAGTCTATTCATTGTCCTAATGATAAGATTGGCCAACCCACAAAATAATCGTTTTCTTTTTTGTTTAATGGATTGATAGTAAGTTATCCATTTTCAAATGCTTAGTCAAAGACGGAGTCTGAATTATGACTAGAAATGCTCCTAAAACTGAACCACTCGCAAGCTGCCCGGTTGCTGCATGATGAAACTAAATACATTTTTTTGCTTCTCCTGTAAAATGTACTCTGCTAGGGTTAACAAGTCTTATCTCAAGGGCAATGATATACACATATATATCTATCTACTTCAGACAACAAAAATGATTTTTCGATGGTAAACCAGTGCAGATAATACTGTGTATGTATTCAGGAGTAACATTCATCTGGCAGGTGCTTGATAGCACGTCTGCTGAGACATTTCAGTTACCCACTCTCAGCACTTTTTAAGGGCCCCAGAGCAAGTGTTGAGTTCATGCGTGCTGTCGGCATCACTGACCGCTTATAACGCCACAGCGCCAGAAGAGATAGAGAGAGAGAAAGAGAGAGAGGTTCATGCACATAGATCTGTCTGCTCCAGTTAACATGATGATGCCATGTAATGTGTCTGCTTGTCAGAAAAAGCTGTTCTTGTTTTTGCGTTTAGAGTCATTATAGTAAAATGATGAACACACGTGCATTGTGTGCATGGTTATAAATATAAGTATTATCTTTGTCAGTGATAAGTTTCTTTCACCATGTGTGTACAGACTATGCAGTTTTCTGCTGTTTCAGAACTCTTATACTCATTTTTCTGATTTTGTTGTTTTGATCTTTAAGTTTACAGGATTTTAAGAAGTGAACACAGTTTTTTTTATAAGCTATCTACTTTTGGTAATGCAAAACATTTAAACTCTTTGGTGATATGGTGTATTTTGATTTTTGGATTTCTACTTAAACATTTTTTTTCATCATTATAAGATGCCCTGTAAACTATAAACTTTATTAACATTTCATGAAGATGATTCAATTTTTCAAGATGCTGATCTTGTCTTTAAGGATTTAGATACAGGATGCTGATTTGCGCTACTGGTCACAAACAATTGTCTTCCTATCTGTACAAAAACCATCTTTGTCTTTGGAAACTGCTGTGTCCACATGCTAAATTTTGCTTTGATTTTAGTGACCATCTCTGTTGTAGTCATCAGACAACTGGTTTAAATCTCTGTGACATGTATTTATGGTTTGTGGGTGGTTGTCGGGTGCTCTGGTGTGGTTTGCTCCTTCTTTCATAGCAAATGTCTATTGTCCTTATTTCTCCTCCATTTTTGTGTTTGTTACTCTATTGTAACACCTCTAATCTTCGCCACTTACATGGCTTTATTGTGATGCTAGTGCTGAAAACTCTTTTACTAAAAAGAAAATAAATTAATGAATTACAAACAAAAACATTCGTGTATATTGCAGGAAGGTGTCTCATGTCTTTACTGTGTATTTTTGAGAAGTTAATCAGTACAAGTCATTATTTTTTTTAAAAATCAGCCGGTGCATTTAGAGAGAGAGAGAGAGAGAGAGAGAGAGAGAGAGAGAGAGAGGGAGGGAGAGAGGGAGAGAAAGAGAGAGAAGGGGGAGGATAAGGTGTGAGAGTATCATCTAGGTTTGTCGGGAAATGATAAGGAAGTGTGTTAGTGTGTAAGTAGATTTGTCGGCGAGGAAAGGGAAAATAACAGATTGGCTACCTGTGTTTTTATGCATAAGTAGTTTATTCAGATCACCTAGTCCACATACCATATTCTAGAAATGTTTGTGAATGATAATATATGTAGTTTTTGGATACAGTTGGTTTTTTTTTCTATCGTGGAAAGGTTTTGTAGTCTTCTTGTTTTCACTGATGGGTCTTTTTTGTAATGTTAAAATGTTTATGAAAATGTTTGGCTTGTTGTTTGTTGGTAGTAAAAATGAGAACTACTTATAGTGAACACGGCAGTCATTTAAACTCAAGAATTAATAGGATTGGTTGGAAAAAGCCTCTTATTCTGGATGTCTTTCTGTTACTTGTGGTTATTAGTGACAATGGTGTTGACCTCAAGACAGCTGATGTGAATGGCTGCCGAGTTCTGTGCTTTAACTTGTTGTTTCAGTTTCTCCACTCTGTGACAGAAATTGGTCATCTATGTTGCTATTCAGTTGCATAAACTTGTGAGAAGGCGCATGCTGATAGTGAAAATTATTGAATATTTATGCTCCGACCCATTCTATTGAAATAGTTGATTAAGCATCCTGATATTACAGCCTGAACTATGCAGCTTCACAGTTGCTACAAATTTCAGTCAATATTTCTTCATTTGTACTTTAAACTAAAAATCGACTGCTCAGTATAAGAATCCGTCATACGTCACTTTTCAAAATGGCGTGTGATGGCGTCTCATACTGAGCAGCTGGAATACAGTCGCAGCGTCTACGCATTTAGCACTGTCAGTTATCTTCTTCTGAAGCAGTGTTACAGAAAACTATGCAACATGTTTGTTTTCATGACGTAGGTACTTGATGTATTGTTCTCATAGTGCACAGTGTGTAGTTGCCAACATGTTCTGATACTAGTTGCTGCCTTGAAAAAAGTTTGTTGTTGACATTGTTGCAAGTTTTTAGTAGACCTTCGACCCCCTGCAAGTGCAAGGAACAAGATTTTTTAAGAATCAGAAGGCTCTCTTGTGGCACTATGCTGGAGAAACAGAAGGTTGTTTTTCAGGGGATGCGTTGGCGTTAGGAGTGGGGGGGGGGATAGGTATCCTGTACTAGAACTCTCTGTACTATTGTTGGTGGTCTCATTACAAGCATCAGGGTTTGGGCATTGGTCCTGGGAAGGTATTGGCACCACACATTTTTATAACAGCTATGAGAGGATGCTGAGACCAAGTGTTAAGTGCAGCAGATGATGTGCCTCTGAAATGAACAGGGTGAGCAGGCCACACACACACACACGCACACACACACACACACACACACATACATGCACAAGCTTGTGTGCTCACCTCCACCCCACACCACACACACACACACATTTTGTAGTACTTAATACTGCGTATGTACATGTGTGTGTGCGTATGTTGCACAGATGGGAGTATGGTGCAAATGAAAAGGAGATGGCAGGCGAAACACAAGACATGCAGAGCCTCTGACATCATGTATTACCAGAACTGGTACTAGTATTGGCTGTATTCGACATCCAGAGCTGGTAAAGTACCAAAACTCGATTTTGCTGGTGCCTCCCCAGCACTAGTGGGTGGGAAGAAGGGGGGGTGGGGAGGTCGAGAGTAGGGAAGGACGGAAATGAGGGACTTGTTACTGGTCATTTTAGCATTAATTACTAGTATTTTACTCTTCTTATGATCAACCTTTTACTGGTGTGATGCATACATGAATGAAGAGATTGCTTATGGAATTGTTGCTGTGAGTCTTCAGATAGAGAAGTATTCTGTTACTGTAACTGTGCTGCATGTTTATGAATGATCAGCAGCTTGCTAAGGCAGTGCGAGTACATTCCTTCGTTTGAACAATGCCCGTGTCACTGAATGTGTAAGTTGTTACCACGCTAAATGTAACTCAAGTTTTTCCACATGATGGAATCAGTAGTGTGGTTCACTCACATTTCATTTGTATTGATGCATTATTTTATAAGGCTGTTGACTTGTTGTAGTCTCCTTAATTCTCTTAATTAGTGACACAGCTATCATAGGACGGG